CAATTTATGCTGATAATGAAGAGAGTGGGAGAGAGAGGCATCATATAGAGAGAGAAAACATAATGATGTGTGAGCTTTACGGGGAAATAAATTAGCGTTAAAAAGAGTTTGGATAGAAATAAGACTCCCACATATAGATCTGACCGAATCAGATGCTTTTAGATCCATTAAGTGGTTTTTTTTATAAAAAAAAAAAACAAACGCACTTAACAGCCCAATGTTTGTATCATTTAGATTTAGACCTTCATTAAGTGGAAACAAATGAGGCCTTAATACCATTTAGACTCTATTAAAATAATAATCTTTCCTTCATAAACAAATTCTCTTCTTCCTTGCATCTCTTCTGGGCAAGTTTCAAGTTTCTTCTTCTCCTTTTCCAACCAAGTACCATTTTTTTTAATAAATAAGTTTTCATAATCTTCTAGAAGTATTTATCTAATTCTTTTAATATATACAATATTCTTGGGTGAATTGATATTTATGAATAACTCTTATTTTCACAATTCCTTTGTTGTTAAATAAGTTGTCATTGTTTCTTGAGAAAAAATTCTTTGAGAAAACAAATAAATAATATTTTTTCTAGGGTGGCTTATAAACTTATTTTTGAAACAATTTTTTTGGAAGAAGTTATCTTTGGCTTGGATTATAACTTTTATTGATACAATGTTTAATTCTTAATTTTAAAATAAAATAAGTTATGCACATTCAGATATTAAAAATAAACAATCTTAATGATTCAGTGTTCATACCTAGAAACAAAATCTTAATATTCAGATGCACATTCAGATTATGACATCTTAATCTCAATGCACATCTTACATAGGTAAGTTATCATACTTTTTAGAGACACCTTATCACTTTCAAACAGAGGTTTAGTGGATCCACTTAGTTGAAGTGTTCAATGCCCCGACAAGGCATATGATAGTTCTAGCATCGTGGGCGAGACACTGTATCATCACGTAGCTCATAGTGATGGTTGTTTGTCAGAGAATCTCACAATTAGGAGTAAAGATTATTTCTATTGTATTTTTATATAGATCCATGATTTTAAATAATTTATTTATGATTCTTTAAATATATTCATCTCTTATCTTTGCTTCTACTGAATTGAGTCGAGGAAATAATTCTTTCAGCCTTATCAGTCAAGTTATTTATCCATTCACCTATATTACATACTCGTACATTATATGTACCGATGACTTTTGACCTGCATCTTTTTATGATGTAGATACATGTGTTTAGCATTATAAATAGGCTCTTTGTTGAGATCACTTGGCACTTTAGATAGATTGGGTGAACCTCCTTTCATTGTGGAGGACTTCAGATTTATGTTCTAGTCAGTTTTCTTGAGATGTCGTGAGTCTTGTCTCGACATTTATCTTGAATAATAGAGGCTTCATAGAAAGCTAGAGTTGAGGAACCTCCTTTGTTTTTTTGTAAATTATTTTACTTATGTGATTGAGTATTTTATAAGCAGTTTTAATTGAGTATTTGTTTTGAATTTAAATATTCTAAATTATGTTTTAAGCATATTCTCGCTTGAGTAAGTCTTCTCCTAAGTAGAGAGGCTAAGGGTTCGCTTGGGGGCCAATAATGGTTCTCAAGTGTTGATCAGGTCTAGGATGTACGCTCGTAGTGTGACATTAAGTAAAAGGTATGTAACACCTAAAAAAAAGATTTGCAAGAAAGGGTTCAACAATGGTGGAAAGTTCTAAGGAAGGGTTCAAGGATGGTGGAAGAGTCCACGGTCAGTGAACCCATCCTTGAACCCAAGCCTTGAGAAAAATATTCTAAGGCAAGGGTCAAAGGACGAGGTCAAGGATGGTAGAAGAGTCCACGGTCAGTGAACACATCTTTGAACCCAAGTCCTGTAAAAAATATTATAAGGCAATGGTCTAAGGAAGGGTTCAAGGACGGTGGAAGAGTCCACGGTTAGTGAACCCATCCTTGAACCCAAGCCTTGTGAAAATTAATCTAAGGAAATGATTCACGGGCAATTCATAGCTAGTAGAAGGGTCCACCAACGGTAGACCAATCCGTAGAGATTGACTTAGAAAAAAAATCTTGGCCTCTTGCTTACGATATCTTTCACGGGCCGTGAATCGATGGTTGGCCGGTTAAAGGCTTTCCTGAAAGGGTCCCGTCAGTAATTTGTTCAATGGTATATGGGTCTTTTCCTATGCATTTAAAAATGTAATAACCTATATTAAAATAAGGGCAAATTTGTCATTTAGCTCTCATTTAAAAAAAGGGGGGATCAAAATTTTTTTTTTAAAAAAAGGGCTGATAGCCCTAACAGAAGCAGTAGCAACTTCAGCGATCAAAAGAAAAAAAAAGGGACTCTTCTTGTTCTAGAGTGAGCTAACGAACGAAGGAGAAAAATAAATTTAAATTGAAAGCCTTGGTTCTCAAACTAAAGAGAGGTGGAATAAGAAGGAGAACGAGAAGAAGGTAAGTTTCTTAACTTAGTCTAAAGGTTGAATTTGTATCTTCCATGACTATAAGATTGGGAATTGGGTAGTTGAGAAACATGGGTTTAGAAGAAAAAGAGGAAATTTACTTCATTCTTATAAACCAGGTAAATATAGTCAATGATTTGAACTATTGGGCTTATATGCAATAAGAGTAATTGGGCAGTAAGGTTAGGTTGATCTTTTTACAAAGAGAATTGACCAAGAAGAGACTAATGTGTGTGATTAAAGCAATAATTAAATGATTGGGCAAATTTCGAATCAGCCATGAAACCTCTAGCGCTGGTTTTTTTTTAATGTAGTATGAATTACCTAAATGAAGGAGTTAACACGAAATTGTTATGAATGTGATTATAGATTGACCAATGGAATTCGTACGGAGTAATCGAGTGGCAAACTTTGGTAACTCAACACAAGTATTGTGAGTAGTAATCTTACCACAATTTGTCTTTCACAATTTTCATGATTTTTACATGGTTTATAAAGTAAATGTGTACCGATTGTTTTGAACTTGCATATGGGACAAGTCTTTTACTGGATATGATACTAAAAAGATTATTTGAGATGATCTCATTCTTACAAGATATGATTACTGTTATTGAAAAGGTTTTACACTTATTTGAGAAATAGTATTTTGGCAAATGATTGTTAAACTTTGAAATGATATGATTTGATAAGATTTAAATGCTCTGTTCGATTTTGAAATGCTTCTATTGATTACAAGAAAAATATAAATGGGAGTTGACCTTAATGAATGTCGTAGCTAGCGGCGAGATCGTTAGATCTGGTGCACCTTGTAGTTCTGATTACTGATAAAGCCCTTGCTAGTGGGAAGGTAGAACTAGTAAACTGGTATTGATATCCCTAGAGTAGGGATCTACTGATATGAATAATTAACTCCTTTTATGAGGAGTTCATTGTTATTGGTTACTTCTGGAAAAAAAGGCCACACTAATTTCATGATTCATCATTGGAAACTTCCCAGCTATAAGATTTGATATGAAAATGTTCTTTTTCTGAGTTTGCTATTATGTATTTACACTGATTATGCTTATATGAGGCACCTAAGATTGAATATTGTTATTGTTTTTGAAAAAGCATTGTTTCATCGTTATGACTACTACACTAGCATGTTTTCTAACTTGTCCCTCATTAAAATGGTTGTGGTTAAGTATTATTACTCACTGAGCTAGCGTCTTACTCCTCGCTAATTATTTTTACAGAGAATTCAGGTGGTATTGAAGAGGATTTCATTAACTAGCGTGTGAGTTGGTAACATCTAGTGAGCCCCGCATTGCTTCGCGTGGCAAGGGAACTATTGATTTGCTATGTTTATTTAGTTTCTTTTAAAACTCTTAGAATCGTTCCATTTGTCATTCTTTTGATTTGAGTCAAGATTAGTCCTTCGAATTATAGTCAAGTGACAAGTTTGGAACTTTTTTCGTTATTTGGAGATGAATTGGTTTTATTTCGTGACCATTTGATCATTAATGGATATTATATGGTGTTTTATAGTTGCTATTAGTTGTGTTGTTAATTTCTGAGACAAGAAAAAATCCAAATAGGCCTAAAAACAAAGGAAACTCTGCCTGATTTTCTGTAGAATTCTAGTGCGGCTTGCTTTGGGATTCTCCCCCTTAGCGCCAGTCATGATCCTTAATTGGGTCGTGACAAAGTTGGTATCAGAGCACTAGGTTATTTTTATGACTTATGGAGCACAAGTTAGTTGTAGAATCTCAATTATGGTTATGTTGCCGGTCATTTCTATAATCGTGATTCTACAAGGACGTGATAGGATGTGTCTTGTCTTTCTTTCTCATTCCTACTTATGTGTGTGACGTTTAGGGCCAACTAGATTAATCTAACATCATTCGTTTATGTTAACCAGATCGCTCAAACCCAATTATCTAAGGGCACAGCTACAACATGTGTTCCTAAGGCACCTAATGTCACTTTAGCCAGGCAGCCAACTTCATCAACTTGGGGAAGGGACAGAGCTTGCAAAACTGGTTGAGGAGAGGGACGTAATGCTACCCCAGGGAACCGCAGCACCACTAATAGGACTTCAAGGGAGGTCACTCCGGAAAGGAGCGCTACTCCACCCCCAACATCGCATGAGAATGCTACAACTGGGTACTTGCCTCCATGCAGAAATCCATAGAGAGTTTGGTCAATAGAATGGATAGACAGGAGAGGGATGGTCAGCATAATGTTGTTGCTACTCAGACACATGCAACACTTTAGACACCTGCATGAACTTACACTTTTGGGAATAAAGAGGTATCCTTGCAGGAATTCTTGAAATTGAAATCACCAAAATTCACTGGTTCTGATAGTTCAGCGGATCCTCAAAGCTTCTTGGATGGGACATTCAAGGCACTCCGGGCTCTAGGATGTTCTAGTGAGAGATCGGTGGAGCTGGCAGCATACAAACTAGAGGACATGGCTAACACTTGGTATGAGATTGTATTGCTAGGTCGACCTACTGGGGCGGCACCACAAAAGTAGGATGAATTCACTAAGTTTTTCATGGATAATTTCCTTCCTAATAGTCAGAGGCAGAGGTATGCAACGCAGTTTGAGAGGTTGGTACAAACTCCAGATATGGATGTGGCAACTTATAACGCCAAATTCTATAAGCTCGCTAGATATGCTCCTTTGTTAGTACCTACTGAAGCAGAAAGAGTTCAGAGGTTCGTGCATGGGTTGGTTAGTCGTCTATTCAATGCCCTAGCCCCAAATATGAGTACCATGACTTATTTAGAAGCAGTTGATCTAGCTAGAAAGATTGAAGATAAGGGTCGAGAGGAGCATGCAGCCTATGATGTACGTAAGAAGGCCAAGATAGAGGGATCTTACAGCGGCGACTTGGGTGCAAATCACAAAATAGGGAATCAGGGAAGACAACAACAGGGCTCTCAGACAGGGATGGATACACTTTCACAGTCCACATATAAGCAACATCACATACAGGGTATTCAAGGACGATCATCAACACAGGGATATCGTAATTCTGGGCAAATGTATGCCACTGCTCCATGCTGCCAAACTTGTGGTAAATCACATGTAGGCCAGTGTTGTGTTGTCATCGGAGGCTGCTTTTGGTGTGGTCAGTTGGGGCATCGCATTAGGGAATGGCCTCTACCTCTGAGAAACCCCACACAGACTTCTGCTCAGATAGTTGCACCTACTCAGACCACTCATAATGGTTCAGGTATTGCTGGTACATGAAATAGAGGTATAGGTGTTGGAGATCATTTCACTGGAAATCAAGGACAAGGGAATGCTGGTAGAAGTCAGTCAAGAGTTTTTGCACTTACTAGACAGGATGTTCACGCCTCAAATGCGGTGGTTACAGGTATTCTTTCAGTTTGTTCCTTTGATGCACATGCTTTGATTGATCCAGGATCTACCCACTCATATGTGTCCTCATACTTTACTTTGAGATTTCATAGACAACTAGAGATGTTGAATCATCTATTTCTTGTTTCTACTCCTGTGGGGGATTCCTTGTTAGTTGAATATGAGTATCGTGATTGTCAGATAAGAGTTGAGGGTAGGGATACTCTAGCTAACCTAATTGTACTTGATATGATTGATTTTGATGTGTTGATGGGCATGGATTGGTTATCTCCTTGCTATGATACTGTTGATTGTCATGCAAAGATAGTCAAATTTGAAATACCTGATGAGCCTATATTTTTATTAAAAGGGGGTCAAGTCCGCGAGGTTGGAAAAATCATATCCCTTATGAAGGCTCGAAGGTTACTACAGAAAGGTTGTATGGGTCTCTTAGCTATGATAAGGGATACAATAGAAGGAACACTTAGCTTGGAGAAGATACCCATGGTGAATGAATTTTCTGATGTATTTCCCAAGGATTTGCCAGGATTACCTCTTGTACGAGAGATAGACTTCGGTATTGATTTGGCTCCTGATACATTGCCAATATCCATACCCCATACCGTATGGCACCAGCAGAACTGAAGGAGCTAAAACAGTAGTTGCAAGACTTACTCGATAAGAGTTTTATCTGACCAAGTATATCTCCATAGGGCGCACCAGTATTATTCGTAAAGAAGAAAGATGGGTCTCTAAGAATATGCATCGACTACAGACAGTTGAACAAGGTTACGATACGTAATAAGTATCCTTTACCTCGTATAGAGGACCTATTTGATCAATTACAGGGAGCTGTCCACTTTTCAAAGATTGATCTTAGATCTGGTTATCATCAACTCAGAATCAGGGAGGAAGATGTTTCCAAGATAGCATTCAGAACTCGATATGGACACTATGAGTTCCTTGTGATGCCTTTTGGATTAACCAATGCGCCGACTGCATTCATGGATTTAATGAATAAAGTGTTCCGACAGTTTCTAGATAGGTTTGTGATAGTTTTTATTGATGATATCTTGGTATACTCTTGTTGCCAGGAAGAACATGAGAATCATCTAAACACAGTGTTACAGACTTTGCGAGAGCATAAGCTTTATGCTAAGTTCTCAAAGTGTGAATTTTGGCTAGACTCAATAGCATTTTTGGGGCATGTGGTGTCGAAAGATGGGATCAAGGTGGATTCCAATAAGACAGAAGTTGTGCAAAAATGGCCCAGACCTACTTCGCCTACAGAAATTCGAAGCTTTTTGGGTTTGGCAAATTACTACAGGCATTTTGTGCAGGATTTCTCCAAAATAGCATCTCCATTGACTAAGTTGACACAAAAAGATGCTAAATTTCAATGGACAGAAGAATGTGAGCAAAGCTTCCAGAAACTTAAAATGTGTTTGACAAGAGCACCTATATTGTCCTTACCATCGGGTTTTGGAGGTTTTGCGGTATTTTGTGATGCTTCGAGAGTTGGGTAAAGTTGTGTGCTGATGCAAAATGGTCGTGTTATTGCCTATGCTTCAAGGCAGCTGAAGAGGCACAAGCAAAACTATCCTACTCATGATTTGGAGATGGTTGCAGTGATATTTGCTCTTAAAATTTGGAGACATTATCTATACGGTGAAACTTGCGAGATATATATTGATCACAAGAGCTTAAAGTATATTTTTTAGCAGAGAGACCTGAATCTTCGACAACGACGATGGATGGACCTACTCAAGGATTATGATTATGGTATTTTGTATCATCCTGGAAAAGCTAATGTTGTGGCGGATGCATTGAGTAGAAAATCTATGGGTAGTTTAGCACATATAGTTCCCGAAAAGAGGCAGTTGGCAAAAGATGTGCAGAAACTTGAAGGCACAGGTATTAGATTTAGTGTGGGAAATCCAAAGATATTGCCAGCTTGTGTGCAAGCCAAATCTTCATTAGTAGAGCGCATTAAAACTACTCAATATAAGGATGAACTGCTTTGCAGATATCGAGATGAGGTCACAACTGGTAAAAGTGAGTAGATGATGGCTGACGGTGCTGGTATGCTTCGACTAGGTAATCGGTTGTGTGTACCAGACATAGATGGGTTAAGTCGAGTTATTCTTGAAGAAGCTCACAACTCTAGATATACTATGCACCCTGGTTCCACTAAGATGTATCATGATCTGAAGCAGTTGTGTTGGTGGGAAGGTATGAAGAAAGATATAGCTAATTTTTTTTCTATTTGTTTGCTTGTCAACAAGTTAAGGCAGAGCATCAACGACCTGCAAGGTTACTACAAGAGATCCAAATTCTAGAGTGGAAATGGGAAAGAGTCACTATGGATTTTGTGGTTGGTCTACCCCGAACTCTCAGAGGTTATGACTCTGTATGGGTAATTGTAGACCGATTAACAAAATCAGCACACTTCTTACCGGTAAAGGCTACATATGGTGGAGTGAAATATGCCCAGATATTTATGAACGAAATTGTTCGACTTCACGGAGTGCCAGTATCCATCATATCTGATAGAGGGTCACAATTCACTTCACGCTTTTGGAGATCCTTTCAAGAAGCCTTAGGTAGTCGAGTAGACCTTAGTAATGCATTCCATCCACAGACAGATGGGCAATCTGAGCGTACTATTCAAATCTTAGAGGATATGTTAAAAGCTTACATTCTTGATTTTGGAGGTAGCTGGGATGCTTACTTGCCTTTAGCTGAATTTGCCTACAACAATAGCTTTCAGTCCAACATTCAGATGGCTCCATATGAAGCTTTGTATGGAAGGCGATGTCGTTCTCCTATAGAGTGGTTTGAAGTTTGAGAGACCAATGTGTTGGGACCAGACTTAGTACAAGAAGCCATAGATAAGGTCCAGTTGATTAGGCAAAGATTGCTCACAGCTCAAAGCAGACAGAAGTCTTATACGGATAAGAAAAGAAGATATCTAGGGTTCATGGTTGGGGACAAAGTTTTTCTACAAGTTTCTCCAATGAAAGGTGTGATGCGGTTTGGCAAAAGAGGTAAATTGAGTCCACGATATATAAGACCATATGAGATACTTGACCGGGTTAGAGGAGTGGCGTATCGTTTGGCACTGCCTCCTGATATGTCTTTCATCCATCCAGTATTCCATGTTTCTATGTTGAGGAAGTATATCTCAGACTCCTCTCATGTACTTGAAGCACCGACTATACCAATTGATGAGAACTTACCATATGAAGAGGAACCTGTGGCTTTTGTGGACAAACAAGTAAGAAGGCTAAGGTCAAAAGAAATTGTGTCCATGAAGGTCTTATGGAGGAACCATACCACTGAAGAAGCTACTTGGGAGTTGGAAAAGGATATGCGAGAAAAGTATCCTCTCTTGTTTCAGTCTACAAGTATACACTTACTTTAAATTTGGGGATCGAATTTCTTAAGGTGGGGAGAATGTAATACCCTATATTAAAATAAGGGCATATTTGTCATTTAGCTCTCATTTTTTTAAAAAAGGGGATCAGAAATTTTAAAAAAAGGGCTGAAAACCCTAACAGAAGCAGCAGCAACCTCAGCGATCAAAAGAAAAAAAAGGGACTCTTCTTGTTCTAGAGTGAGCGAACGAACGAAGGAGAAAAATAAATTTAAATTGAAAGCCTTGGTTCTCAAACTAAAGAGAGGTGGAAGAAGAAGAAGAACGAGAAGAAGGTAAGTTTCTTAACTTAGTCTAAAGGTTGAATTTGTATCTTCCATGACTATAAGATTGGGAATTGGGAAGTTGAGAAACATGGGTTTAGAAGAAAAAGAGGACATTTACTTCATTCTTATGAACCAAGTGAATATAGTCAATGATTTGAACTATTGGGCTTATATGCAATAAGAGTAATTGGGTAGTAAGGTTAGGATGATCTTTTAACAGCGAAAATTGACCAATAAGAGACTAATGTGTGTGATTAAAGAACTAATTAAGTGATTGGGCAGATTTCCAATTAGCCATGAAACATCTAGGGCTGGGTTTTTTTTTAAAATGTAGTATGAATTACCTAAATGAAGAAGTTAACACAAAATTGTTTAGAATGTGATTATAGATTGACCAAAGGAATTCGTACGGAGTAATCGAGTGGCAAGCTTTGGTAACTCAACACAAGTACTGTGAGTAGTAATCTTACCACAATTTGTATTTTACAAATTTCATGATTTTTACATGGCTTATAAAGTAAATGTGTTACCGACTGTTTTGAACTTGCATATGGGACAAGTCTTTTACTGGATATGATACTGAAAAGATTATTTGAGATGATCTCATTCTTACAAGATATGATTACTGTTATTGAAAAGGTTTTACACTTATTTGAGAAATAGTATTTTGGCAAATGATTTTTAAACTTTGAAATGATATGATTTGATAAGATTTAAATGATCTGTTCGATTTTGAAACGCTTCTACTGATTATAAGAAAAATATAAATGGGAGTAGACCTTGATGAATCCCGTAGCTAACGGTCGGATCGTTAGACCTGGTACACCTAGTAGTTCTGATTACTAATAAATCCCTTGCTAGTGGGAAGGTAGAACTAGTAAACTGCTACTGATATCCCCCAGAGTAGGGATCTACTGATATGAATAATTAACTCCTTTATGAGGAGTTTATTGTTATTGGTTACTTCTGAAAGAGAAGGCTACACTGATTTCATGATTCATCCTTGGAAACTTCCCACCTATAAAATTTGATATGAAAATGTTCATTTTCTGAGTTTGCTATTATGTATTTACATTGGTTATGCTTATATGAGGCACCTAAGATTGAATATTGTTATTGTTTCTGAAAGAGCATTGTTTCATCATTATGACTATTACACTACCATGTTTTCTGACTTGTCCCTCATTAAAATGGTTGTGGTTAAGTAATATTACTCACTGAGCTAGCGTCTCACTCCTCGCTAATTATTTTTACAAAGAATTCAGATGGTATTGAAGAGTATTTCATTAACTAGTGTGTGAGTTGGTAGCATCTGGTGAGCCCCGCATTGCTTCGCGTGGAAAGAGAACTATTTATTTGCTATGTTTATTTAGTTTCTTTTAAAAACTCTTAGAGTCGCTCCATTTGTCATTCTTTTGATTTGAGTCAAGATCAGTCCTTCGAATTATAGTCAAGTGACTAGTTTTGAACTTTTTTCGTGATTTGGAGATGAATTGGTTTTATTGCGTGACCATTTGATCGTTGGTGGATATTATATGGTGTTTTATAGTTGCTATTAGTTGTGTTGTGAATTTCTGAGACAGGAAAAACCCAGGATAGGCCTAAAAACAAAGGAAACTCTGCCCGATTTTCTGTAGAATTCTGGTGCGGCTTGCTTTGGGATTCTCCCCCTTAGCTCTAGTCATGATCCTTAATTGGGTCGTGACAAAAACATAAACTAGGTCATTTTAATCCTAATCCTAGACCATATATAAGTCTTTTAAGCGTAAAGTTTAACCATTCTAAACCACTCTATAAATTTCCCCAAATCCCTCCAAGTTCGTCCCCCAAATATTTCTCTCTCTAAAATAAGAAGTCAAGCTAGGGTTTTCAAGATCAAGTCTCCTAATCCTCCATTGATTGCAAGCTTTTGGCATCAAGGTATAATAGTCTTCATCTATGGAGCTCTTTCTTCCGTAGAGTTCCTAAATTCTTCAATTTACAAATTTAGAAATCTCCAATTGAAGTTAGGGTTTTCTTATATGTCATGGGTTCATTTAAATGTTGATTCAATTGGTTTTTTTATGAAGTATTATGCATGAGTTGATATAATTCCATTTTTTAAAGCTGAATCCCCATGAACCCATGCATAACCCAAGTTTCCTAAGCTATGATGATATAATGTGGGTTTTGGTCTATGAAATATGAGTTTATGAAGATATGCATGTTCTTTATGAAATTGATAAAAAGTAATTTAAGTTACTTTGAGAGTAACACGTAAATATTGTTAGTTTTATTGTTGTGTAAGGATTTCTCACATACTACTCAATACTGAATGTCAAAGTGTTTTCTCACATAAGGATTCTTAGCGTTGAAAGGTTTTCTCAACTTAACTTTGAATCAAGATTTACGAGCTATTCTAAAGAAACTTGGATTGGATTGGCTATTTGATGTGCCTTCCATGAAAGATAAGTCAAGTAATTATTTATGACTATTCCGTGGGATTTATGCTTAGCACTGAGAGGATATTGATATTGAAGCTCTCCCGTAGCTAGAGGTCATGTTTCTAGTACCTATATGCTTATCCCATACCTATGTGCCCCTATAGGATGACTGTCTTAGATAGACATTAGCTAGAAGTTTAGGTTCCTACCTTGACAAGTAAGAACAACCCATTTCGGTGTGGGGCAGACACCAGATTCCATGTTGTAGCTCGTATGGTCTCTATGTAAGTTAAGGCTACTTCCTACATTAATAATGATGAACTTGTTGAGAATTGATTCAAAAAAAAAGTCTAAGTTACTAAATGATTGATTATTTACTGTGAGTTTGAATAAGTCTTTTACTAGAGTTGAAAGAGTCTTTGTTAGGTTGTTATTTCATTGCTATTTTTTTGGCACTTTCCTAGTTTCTAGTCAAGTGGAAGTCATCGACAGATATAATCTTCCAGAGTCTATAAGCCTATAAATGTAGATATTTCCAGTTAATAAAGTAAGCACTTCTACAAAGTATTTCCTTCATCTTCTTTGTGCAGCTCTAAGTTTTGTAGTTAAAGAACCTCTATTTTTCCTACATTGTGATATCAGAGCAAGCGCTCGGTCTTTGACTGGGTGATTAAGAGATAAGAAACAACCAGGGAGTGAAGTTTAAGAAGGAAAAAAAAGGTTATGGAAGCAAATGGTATATCCTCTTCTTCACAACCCCTCATACTCGTCTTCAATGGTGAAAAGTATGAGTTTTGGAGCATCAAGATGAAGACTTTGTTTAGGTCTCAAGAATTGTGGGACTTGATCGAAGATGGGTTCACTGATGTAGCAGAACCGGATGCAGAGGAAGAGAATAGATAAAAAGAAATCAGAAAGAAGGATGCAAAAGCTTTGTT